CGCTGCCTGCCCCGCTGCCTGCCCCGCTGCCTGCCCCGCTGCCTGCCCCGCTGCCTGCTCCACAGAGGGACAAAGAGGAGCAGGGCCCAAGGGTGATAAAATGCTGACGGAGGGTCCTCTCGGGTCTGGTGGGAGTTGTTGTTCAGGAGAGCGGAGCTCAGCCTGCAAGGAAAGATGCTGACCCTTTGAATTGGATCTGTCCTTAGTTTTCATTCGTTTAAAATATTTAGGCATTTTGTCTTATTTCAATTCAGACTGAAATGCTGGAAAATCTCTTTTTAATTTTTTTTTATTTTTTTCCCTAAGAACTACGAATTGGTATTGATTTTCCCTGCCTGCTTGGAGTGCTGATCGTAGCTGGATGTCAAACCCTCCGTGGGGCCGGGGAGGTCTGTGCTTGCCCTGAACGACGTACAATTAGTGCAGGAGGAACCTACGGCCAGCATCCATCTTCTGCATTCTCTGCTTTATTCCGTGCTCTTCATTGCAGCATCCTATTTCTGGTATTTTTAACAGGCAGACTGCAACGTTCAGAGCTGTCATCTGGGGGTTACGCAGACTGGGGTTTCGTTTTGAGCTGTGAGAACAGTAGCGGTCGGCTACGGCGTTTTGGTCCTGGTGGGGGTTCTGCTTAGCCGGGGGCTCCAGAGGTGTGGATCAGACAGCTCGGGGGACGCGCTCGTTGTGGCAGCATCCAGCTTCCAGGAGAAAGGGTGAAGATGTTTTCCACCAAAGGTAATTTCTCTGCAAATGTTTATTTGTGAATGACAAGGGCTGTAATTTCTGCGGCAGGTCTGAGGAGATGCTTGCTTATTTATTTAAAAGGTATTTATTTTACATTAGGGACCTCACCAGCTGTTTCTTCCTCTGTTTGCAGCATGTTTATCCCCATTGCTTAGAGTTGCTCAGGCTAAGTCGGACATTCAGCATGTGGGATGCTTGTTCAGATGCTGGCAGGTGTCTGCGTCCGACAATAACCACTGAAAAACTGCTCAGCTTTGAGCCTCAGACCTTGCCACCATCGGGAGCAGGTTCTGCAGTCAGACTGTCACTTGGATTCTCTCTCCTTCTATTTTAATTGTTGAAAAGGAGGGAAAGAAACCAGTAAGCTTTTCCATGACCAGCCACTTAGGTCTCCGTGGCCCCTCAGCCCGTGTTCTGGCAGGGGCTCCTCAGCAGCTCTCTTAAAGTACAGCCCGACACGCAAGCTCAGCTCCCTCAGAGGGTGCACCTGAAGGGTCTCTCGGGGTTTTAATTTGTGCGTCGTTAGAAACGGCTTCTGCCAACACGCTTGCTCGCCTCAAGGCTCTAATTCCCTTCACCATCAGAGATTGTGCAGTCACTAGGTTTGCTCAAGCATGGAAATAGCTTGGAAGAAATTTGTGGGGAAAAAAAGGCAGGGACAAACATTTATTCACTTTATTAAAAGTAGTAAAAATACAGAATAAATACTTTATTCAAAATACATATATCTATAAAAGGTAATATAATTTAATTGACATCACAGAAATAAAGCCATACTGATCTAAACACTCCTATCATCACCATTGGCTTTAGAAAAAACATTTCTTCTCTAAGTGGCATATGCCCAGATCCTTACAAATCTTCAGTTGCCAAAGATCTACCAAAGCTACAGGTAGGGGAAAATCTCAGGACGTGTTTCTTAGTGAAAGTTTTTAGGCAGAGTGCTAAGCAAACCCAATCAAGGTGATCCTATATGCATGAGCGCAATGTTCTGGTACTCCTTGCTGATAACTGATATACGTATGTATAGCGAAGCTTAGGCAGAGCTTAAGAGGTGGAATACTGTGTGAATATGACTTTGGCAGTTCATCCTCATCTGGCTTCAAAGCGGTGGCAAAGCCAGCTCTGTACTAGAAAAGTTTTGCTCGTATGGTTATACTGATTAATCCTCTTTACTCGGGATGGATGTCACAACGTTGAGATTTTCCCGGTATAGCCATACCAGTTCCCAGAGCTAAATCACCCGTTTCAGCAGCATCGGTCGTGTTCTGGTTTAATGGTCTATACACGGGTTCTCGCTCTCCTAGACATGTATTCGAGAATAATATCCGCTCCCCCGAGGTTATCCAATACCAGCAAAACTTTCCAGCAGAAATTTGACCTTAAACCTGAAAAGGTGTAGATCCCCAACCTGTATTGCTAGAATCCATGCTGCCCACTCCCCCGCGACACTGGGCCAGCCTGATCGTAAAGACAGGCACAGGAAATATATATCGAGATGTGATATGAATATTAGTCAGTGTTTATGGCACAGCGGGGGAAACCGGCGGGGTTAGGCAGCGGTGAGATAAGGCGCGTAGCGTGAACCAGCCGCTCTCGCTCACATCCATCTCTGCTCGTTCCCGCTGTGACCTAATTATGAGAACCCCAAGTTTTGTGCCTAGTCAGGTCCTTCCATAACACCCTGCACTATTTGCTTTATCAAGCGTTTAAATTTTCATCTAGAAACGCAAATGACACTTTGCCATCGATACTGTCAGAGATTACGCACCAAACACGGACCTCTACGGTATCACTGCAACTGAAGATGTGCCCTGCTAGATTTTAACACAAAGGAAGAGTACTTGCAAAACAAATAAACATTTTACTGGTCATTTAAATTTACAGCAATTCTAGAGACTTGTAACTCTACAGTCTTGTTTTTTTGGATGCTTTTCGGACGAACGTCATCAGCTTTTCCATGAATCTTGTTGCATTCATTCTTTCTGTATCACATTTCCCCTGAAAAGTTAATCAAGAAAATTAAATTACTTAATATTTAACTATTATGTAGAGGTTTTGCATCTTGCAATAATTAAATGATAGGATTATCCTTAAACCATAAATAGGCTGATCACACCATATGAATCCTTGTTTTAGAGGTGGTTCAAGCTTAAGACTAGAACAAGGGAAGGGTAGAAACGTGAAATAATGCCAGGATTATTTCTTCCATGTAGTCAACACAAGCAAGTACAACAATTACTCTCCCTTGTAGACATAAGGGCTCAGTTATGAATTATGGATCACATTTTATTACCTCTCTGCTGCACGATCTCTGATAGACAAGAAGGAAACTCCTACCTCTTTTGCTAGGCTTGGTGTGAGTGATTGCTTCAGCCTTTCAAATTTTTGGAAAAAAACACTGAATTTTTTCATAGCTGGATGAGTTTTCAGCTGTTCTGTTCCTTCAAAGATTGTGCTGACACAATTCACATCCTAAGATGGAAGAAACAGCAAAACTGAGGCACAAGAATTTGTAATCATGAACTGCAGTAAGTTTATTAAAAATCATCTTGAGTTGTGGCCAGCTGCTTGGGTGGCAAATAAATTGTTACTGACCGTTGGGCTCGTATTCGCAAACAACTTAAGCAAACATGCTTAACTGATGCGCACATTTATTTACTCTGCAGATGGAAACCTGGCAGATGATAGTTTCTGCTAGCGTATGTTCTGTAACGTCCAGATGAACCACATAATTATCTAAAGACTTCGTCCTATCTCTGCTGGAGCCATCTGAAGACCAGTTTGATTTCTTACATCTGCTCGGGTCAGCAGATAATTCTGGCTCATGTCTTTAGTTCGGATGTGAGATGCTTCCTCTCACAGAAGCTAGAGGTGTCTGAACACGAGAGAAGGAAAATAAATGAACCCGAAACTACTCCAAGCATTAACCTCTGCGACAGCTGACATCTGCATGCCGGGAGAGATGGGGACAATGGTCACGCTCTCATCTCGCAGCCCTGTTTGCCTTGTCCCGTCCCAAGGACAGCCATGTACTCGACACGCTTGTCCTCTTCTACAAAGCGGTTTCTGGCATCTGTCTCCGAGACCTTACGGTCCAGGCAAGGCGGCCAGAAGGGCTAGAGGGGATACGGGACGGAAGCGAAGAGCGATGATGGCCGCACTTGCCAGTGCGGGGTTGTTTTTCAAGAGATCAGCTAAACGGGTTGAGAAGGAAAGGAGGAGGAGACACGATCGTCAGCGGCAGGAACAGATTGAAGCGTAATAGGAGAAGAAAGCGATGAAAAATAAAGCAAAAGCTAATCAGCGAAGGTCAGAGGAAATGCAGCCAAAGGCCAGCATCATGCCCATGATGTCCTCGACCAACGCGTGGTCTCCCGTTAGTCGTTCCTGGATGCTGCATGACGAGGAAGATCATTTTTCCCACGACCTTGCTGGGAAGCTGCTCAGTTCTGCTACTGACAAACAGCAAGTGCAGAGACACCGGGAAACTCTCCGTCGTCTCCGTATCCGAGGCAGGGCAGGTGAGAGCGAAGCAGCTCTCCTCCCCGGAGGAGAGCCGGGCACCGGCGTGGTGGGCTGCGGTGGCACCGCCGGGGACCTCAGCGGGTTGAGGCAGGAGCGAGCTGCTGCCATTCGCTCCGCTGATTCTGGGGATGCTTCCCTTATTAAAACCTCGGGGTTAAACCCAGCCTGAGCCCCAGCCGGGGGAGAGAGCTCTTCCAGACAGGATCCAGAGAGAAGTGACAGAGCTGGGAACTTCACATCTAATTTGCAAGGAATGGGCTGGATTTGCCATCAAAAAAGCCCACCCTCCTGTAACTAGCTTATGGCATGCCTGTGAATTATTCTCCTCCTTCAATAAATTAACAACTTGGATTGCATTC